CAAGTGTAAAAGTCAAATTTCCATTGCTAGTACATCCAGTTATGAATTAACTGCAAGAGTTCTATTAGCTTTCACTTTTGGCAAAACAATAATTAAAAGAGTGATAATTAAATAATTGTAAAGCAAATAAATCTGATGTATAACTAATCATATTTTTTTTAAAAAAGCAGTGCCTTAAAGTAAGTGTAAAGGTTTCAAAGCTATAATTAAATTATATTCCTATTTAATTACTGCATACTCTTCCATTATATACATAAGCTGACAAGTATATGCTAAAAAAGCTATATTCTAAAAAGGTATTTGCAATATTAAATGCTAAAGCTCAAATTCTTACTTAAATTAATTAAACATGGATAACTTCTGAATGCCAAATTGTTGCCTAATTATCAAACTTTTAAAATGTTTTACATCCTAAAGTACAATATTCTGTATAATTTAGATTGTCTAGGGAACATCGAGTACATAAAAAGCGGTTTGTAGAACTTCTTCACGAATTAACAGATATAATCTGCCTGCTAGCTATTTTCAACTTCTGTAAGTGTTTCTTATAAATCAAAGACTTAGCAGCAGGAATAAACAAAAAGGAGGAGATGGTATTAAATATATAATGGGACACTACTGGATTATAATGTTTTATAATAGTTTCAGTGCATAGCGGTTTTTTCGCTTCATCTCTGCTAGGTATCCCCTCGGATGTGCTTATTATATTGCGATATTATATTGTTTGGTTGGATGTGATACATAGTGTCATTCTGAACAAAGCAATTTAATGCTGGTCTTATAAAGACCTAATTGTATACCTGAGATAAACATAAATGCCAGCCCATATGAAAATTATTTTAATAAAGATTGCTTAAAAGTATGTAATAAAACATATTCTGCTCCATACAGTTACTTAGAAAACAAGTGATTGTATTAACAGTAAAAAATAGCAATTACTATAAAAATGACTCTACAGCCTCATAATAGCAATGTAAATGTCTTAACTGATCTAAAAGACTTAGCATAATTTAAAATTACAATAATTTTATATTCTCCATTTTTATATACAACCTATAACAGTCAAATGTATTATAATAACAATGTTCTTATTAAGATTAAGTGAGTGAATTATTCTCAGTCCTTTATACTATAAAGCAACAGTGTTCTTCTCTTTTTTAATATTTTCACATATTTTAGCACTTCATATCTCCATTGCAGGCCTTAAAATACTTTAGGGTTTCGTCATTTTTTGGTCCAATTAGTTTCAATATCTATTTCATAAATTAAACAAGACAGCAATATTTCAATTCCTCTTCTTTTGCATAGTGATGAGTTTACTAGTTCATGTATACCAGAGGAAAAAGATGAGTCTTTCTCTTGCTAGAAAAGGGAAGGAAAAATCCAGATCCCTTGCTTCAGTGAATATTCCAGTGGTAAGTTCCTGGGATCTCCACCATATGAAGTGCACATATCAATTAGACATTATTAAACCTGTACTGGAAGCCTTTTGGACACATATCCTACATATCTAGCATATACTAGATATCAGTCTGGTCAGTCCTCCTTTGCCACTTAGGGAAACATTGCATGAATTAGGTCAGAAAGCACCATCACATTTCTCTAAAGAGTTCAATATGAGATCTCCCAAGGCTTACTTTTGCTAGGTGTTGAGTGTTGGTGAAATAACAAAGGCACAAGTTCTGAAGCCAAAAGCACTATGCAGACACATAACACAATTTGCACAGCAATTATTTTTAAAATCAGTACACATTATGAGTATGCCCACATGGGTTACTGCTTGTCCAAGAGGTTAGTGTAAAATCCAGCAGTTGGTGGCATAGCTTGCTATTGTTTCATAATACATTTTTTAAAAATGCAACAAACTTTTAAAACCTTGATGAGACTATATTGCAAAATCTTTTCAAGAGAGGCAAGGTATTTCAAGATGATCCAAAGTAAGAGCCAAGCAACTGCACAAAACCTGAACGAGAAAATTGTGTTGCCTATTCATATTTAATTTCCTTATCTCCATTAAGACCTTGTCCGGTGGTAACTTAAACATAATTCAATAGTTTTCTGTGAAAGGCCACTTTAAAACTATCTAGAGAGTTTTCTTTCCACTTTTGAAACACCACTTAAGTTTTCTGAGAACAAAATTATGGAAGGTGAGTGCTAGCTTATTTCCTGATATATTACAATATTTGATACAGAATTATTCTAACATCAAGAATCCACAATACTTTCTAGGGTCACACTAGCAGCACAAATGTTGTAAGTAACCCATACTTTCTTACTGCTAACTTTCTACAACTTCATCAATCTATATGTTTTAAGAAAAGTCCATTAGAGGTTTATTACCACCATATGGCATTGCCTGAATAATCCATTGTGAGTCAAAGGTCAATCAACTTCATCTTTTGGAGATTAATCCAGATTAATGCGATATCAAAAGGAAGTTATTGTCATATACAGTGGAATTATACATACTTAATCCTGTGCAATCCTTTATTATAGGTATAGCATGAAATGTTGTCAAGGTAACAAGACAGTGCATGCAATGATGCAGCTAGATAAATTTAAGACCCTGGACATAATGCGGTAGGTGCCACATACCTTCCTTTATACTGCCATGAGTACAATCCTGTGCATGTTCAGACAGAAAAGGGGCCCACAACTCTCAGTGCTCTGGGAAATGCTGGGAGGTATAAACCCTTTTAAATATCTTTTAAATACCTTTTAAATAAACCTGCATAAGAATCACCTCAACTGACCTCAGGTGCCTTACTTCAGTGAAACAGTGTATTAACATTTCTTGTCTTCCACTCCATGCTTTACTGCTAGTATTTCTAGTATGTTAAAATAACAACACTGTTTTCCAATCCCATTTAAAAAAATAATCCTTGGGGCATGTGCAATTTTGCATTGTAAATTCATTAAATCACAGTACCATCATGATCTCAGGAATAAAATAGAATTTGCTTCTACTGCCCTCTTTGCTTGCTGCTCTCCAGGCAGTCCTTTTGGTATTGGGCCTGGGTTGCAAGGCTTTGGACTTGGCAATATTTCTAGGTCCAAAACAAGATAGAAGAATGAGTAATAACTTAAAATATAATTTAAGGAGCATCTAGGAATTGTGTGTGCAGCAACCTATTCCTTTCTGGAACCATCCATATCATGTAATATAAGGGCAAGCTCTCCAATTAGCAGCTGTTTAATACTAAGTCAGGGTCACTGAAGCACAAATTCTACCATTACAGATGTTGCCCCAGAGTTGCCAACCTACCTGCACTACTGCATGTACCACTCAAAATAGTTGGAGGGTAGTATGTAACAGCACGGATAACAAGCCTCACTTCTTATATTTTACCTGGGTGAAATTATTATGCTTGTAAAAGAAGGTTATTTTACTGCATGCAAGATTACTATACCCACTGCGAAGGATAAGGGGTTCTGCACTAAATCTTCTGGGTTTCTCACCATTTAAATGTGTATAAAACATAACACATTTACACAAGTGCATTTATCTATCACTCATTCATGCTTTCTTCTGATCTTGTTTCCTTCCAAAACTATATCTAACTCTTTCATACTGATAACACTAAAATATGACATCACTGTTTACAATTCCCCAACTCGACCCATTTGTGAACTGTAATAGTCCATAAAAGCTTGTACCAAATAAAGTTAATAGTCTTCAAGATGCCACAAGACTCTCTACTAAAATTATTGGAATTTCAGTGTAACGGATTACAACTGAACTGACTGAAAAAAACAAGTTTTTATCTTTTCAGTTTCACTTCAAAAAACATTGCTGTCCTAAGGAACAAACCACATACTTTCCAGCCACATGCCTGGAATACAACTTTTCTAGTTTTCTATTTCTAATAATGCTGTCCCTCCTTGTTAGACTATTCTTGCAAAATCATGAAGTATCAGGCTGAGCCAACAGTGAAGTTCTGTTCAAACTGGGAAAAGTTTCTATGGTGAGACAGGATCTCTTCTCTTATTTTCTTGTTCCTCTCTTTCATTTTTCCATGACTGCTGGGTTTTGCGGCACTGACCCTATCAGGCTAGTGGTGTGTGAGGCCTCCAACATTTCCCCCATAATGCTCCTGGAATAATTCACACAGACGTGGTTTTAGGGGAACAGCAATTAAAAAGTCTCCATTAAAAACACAAGTCATCTCAAAAAATGGTACAGTGTTGTTCCAGAGCAAGGAAAGGAAAAAGCAGCCAACTAGTGATCATGGTAAGTTTCATGCTTTTCCTCCCAAATCCCACTTCACAGCCAGTGAAATTGGGAATCTCTTCTGGCTCCCGCCCAATAAGTACATGATCTGAACTTCCTCATTTGTTCTGGAATTCAACATACCCCACCCCCCACCCAAGATGTATTTTAACCTGGTGTTGGAAACATCAGTGCTTGAACTAGATTCTTCTGGGTGTAAGGCCTAGCTTAGAGAGCTAGGGTAGTCCAAATACAATCTGGTGGGCACATCAACCTCTATCATTGATAGGTAACTTGGAGTCTTTGGACAGGGCAGATGTGGCTTAAGTGGTAGGAACCTGGTGTTCAGAATTTGCCTGGCCAACAGAACAGTGCACTCTGCCTGCACTACTTGTGGTTCTAGCATCTCATCTCAGTACTTTCAGGTACCTTGAAATGGAAAACATACTGTACAGCTCCAGTTACATATTTGGAAACAGTGGAACACTGGAGTAAGGCTTAAAAGAAAAGCATCTTTAGCATTCCTAGCAAAATAGAATCCATGTAAAACTCAGCTGTGAAATGTGGGTATGATCACTTCTGATCACTTCCAAGCAAAGGCATATTTCTTATTCTATTGCTCTTTTTTCTTTGATGATCACTGCCACCTAAACCACAAATTCCAAAATGAGTTTGGTTGATGATTGTCTTTTTGTTGTTGAATTGAAGAGCAGGATAAATAAAGCACCACTGAAGTGAAAACAACCACAACAACAACAACACCATATTAGAACTAGGTACTTTTTCCAGGTTATACATCGTCTCCATCATCTGAACTAAAACTGCTTCTTTGGCTGCTACCTTTGGAAACAGCAGGAGATGCTGAAGATAAAAGTGGATCTGTCCCAAAAGGTGATATTGTATCATCCAGTAATATTTCATCTAACCTTTGTTCTTTTAAAGCTGCACTAAAAGATAGATCTGTAAAGTGGGAGAGTGGATCAGAAAAGGCTGCAGTTGTATCACCAAGGTCAGAGTGTTGTTCCTGGACCACTGCAAGATGTCGAGAATAGTCTATTGAATTTTCTTCTGGATATGCAGGTTGCTTCATGACATGGGATGCTAAGTCTACAGTGCCAACTGAAGACATAAGAGGGAGGCCATGGGCTCGTGCTTGTATTTCTAGTTCCTGTAGATTGAGAAAAGAATATTTTTTTAAATATAGACCTATAATTAGTGCTGGTTCAGAAGTTCACTCCACTGCTTTTTCTTTAAACAGATTTCCCCTGTCCACCCTTTCTTAAACAACATGGACACAAATTCAATTTGCAGTGAGAAATCCATAATTTCTATGCTTTGATATGTTCCACAAAACAAACTAAATGTGTTTGTTAACATGCACATATTTGGAAAAAATATGTGCGAAGATATCTGCATATATTCCTAAAATGTGCATGGCTCACTTTAATCTTTGAATGCATAAAATGTGCACACAAGTATGAATTTGTGTGGCTAAAAAACAAACCCCACACCATTGCTGAACCAAAAAAACCCCACACCATTGACTATGAAACAGTGAGAATATCAGTGAGATCAAGTTTGAAAAATCCACTCATCCCAACCTATATTAAACTGAAACCTAAATCTGATATAATTTTGACATCTGTTTTGACAGTATGATGATTATATAATTGCATTATGTCTATCTCTGATACTGTTGACACATAGTTTTGCTATTTTCCAAGCAACATGCTGACTGCATTAAAATATAATAATAAACTATGCTTTTTGAATAATGACGGTTTATGATTATGATGATTTATACTTAATGTGAATGAGACTGGGCCTGGGCCAGCTTTCTCCCCTCCTCTCTCCTTGTCTGGCAGAACTGCAAGGAAGAAGCTGGAAGCTTTTCTTCTGCTTTTCAATTAACCACAGTTCAATGTTATGTCCAAATCGATACAAACTGTGGATAGTTTTAGCTATGGCTTACTAAACCAAGCCAGCTTCAAACCTCTGTTTCTGAACTAAGGTTTACAGAAAAACTACTCAACTGTGATTAATTGAAAATGGAAACCAACTCAAGTGATCTCTTTGCAGCCATACCAGAAGCAGAAAGTGGGGATTATGCAACTCCAAGGGTTATTTGCATAATGTGAAATACAATTTATTGTCATGTTTTAATGCAGTCAATATCAAGGACATCTTTCAAAGAGTAAAACAGCATCTTGGAGTTGAGAGTCTTTAAATACAGACCAATTTGTCATTGCAAGGGGTACCATGCTTACATATGACGAGCATCTGTTTATATTGTTGTATTGTCTTAAGCACTCTTATTGTAATGAGAATTCTAACAGTACAAGCCTATAAGTCCTGTTGAACTCATTGGGAGACTCACTTCTGCATAAACATGTATAAGCTTGTACTGTTAAGCACCTAATTAAAGTCCAGTCCTACACGTTGATACAAAGAAGTGAGTCTACCCCAAAGGGCTTAACTTTGGAAGCACTGTGCCTTGCTTTAAATACTTAAAAGTGATGAGAAAATCCTGCCAGCATTTCTACTCACTAATTATCTACCAAAATTCAGACCTGCTATCTAGAAGCAGACCAGATTCCTTACCCAATTAAATATGTTGCAAATCATGTGCTCTCTGCTATAGAAAGCCACAGAAAGATGATGTGTGACTTAATTTAATGTGGCATAAGGTTCGCCAAGGTAAAACAATGTCATGGACATTTTAAAACTGTGAAACAGTATACCGGACTCTTGAATGTTCAGATAGTATTTTAAACAAACAAGTAAATTCTTGTTTTTCTTCCACTGTGGCTGAATCTAGGAACAACATACACAGTAGGTGAAGCCTGTACTCTTTTTCATATTCTTTTTTATTTTCTGATTGAATGTGTTGCTCGCGACAGACAGCCCAGCAAAATAAGACCCCTAAAACTGATACACTTATGGATTTTGTAACACTGTTCTGTTACTGCATGAACTATTTAGGATGAAAACAAAAATACTGCTAGATAAGGTTCACAAAGCAGTGGGAAAGTATAACAAAAAGGGAAAAGGGCTTGGTTCTGAATGGGTACATTCTTTTACATACAAACCTGAATTCGAAGCAAAAGTCGCCTGTTAGCCTGCTCTAATTTCTTCTGTCTGTGTTCTAATTCTCTGGCTCTTTGTTGTTCTTTTTGTAACCACTTGATATACTCCACTGATGCTTTTAAAATAGTTCCTTTGTTCCAGCGCATATCACTGAAAAAAGTAGAGATAACCTTTTCACAATTGTGCACGTCAGCAAAATTCATAAGAACGTACAAAATCTTTTACATTAATATGAAATAATGATTTACATGGCCATTATTCACTCTTAGATATTATTGCTTCTGAATGGAAATTTTAATAGAATAGTTAAGAAGCCCTTATATAGTAAAATTAATCCCAGAATGAAAATAAGTGTCAAAAGAAAGTAATAAAATGACTTTTTTTGTGGGAGAGCTAAATGCAATATCATGATTCTGCCATTAAAGTTTTTATATTTTTAGTGAAAATTGCTTTTATTATTAACTCTAAGATTAAAATCTATGGGCAGTATTTTTGCATTAATGAACTTGTAGGAAGCATACATTACTGAGAATTTAAGCCTAAATTTTTGAAGATCATTTCAAATGAGGATGCTTTTATTCTTATTTGAGCAACATTTCTCACCTAAATTTGATTGTCACTGAGGACGATATACAGAAAACATAGTCTAGTAACTGTTACCTGCCATACTACAAAACCTGTATGATAATGCAAACTATGACAAATTTCTTCTCAGTATGCACTGAACATCCTCACAAAAACAATTCCCAGGAGCTTCAATGGGATATGTCAACCATTGCACCACATCAGAATTACAAAAGTACATCAAATAATGTTTGGATATGGACATAGGGCCAGCCCTACCATTCAGCAGAGTGGTGCACCCACCTCTGGCAAAAGATGCTATGAAGCAGCAGCAAGGTTTCGGAAGGCGATTTTAAGAAATCCAGGTAGCCTTTCCCATGTCCCTACCAAACTAGCCTTCTGCTCTTAGGTGCAGTTGAGGATACTTTCTCCTCAGCAGCACTGAAATAAAATTCAAGTGCCAGTCCAGTTCTCTCTCTCTCTCTCTCTCTCTCTCCCCGTGTGTGTGTGTGTGTGTGTGTGTGTGTGTGTGTGTATATATGGAATGTGGGAAGGCATCTCAGGAAGGAAAATGTTTTGTTCTGACCTGGGTTATATATTCAAAATGGTGGCATAAGGAAAGAAGCAGCTATATAAAGTTAAGAAAGCCCCAGAAAGATTCACCTGGACTCCAACCAAAGGGCCACAGATATATATGCCATTCTGTACACAGATATGCAGATCTTTAGGACATTGCCAATGACAAGGAGACTGGCAAAACAAGGTAGAAAATAGCTTGCTAGTGGCTGAAGATATCTGATTTGCCCAGTGGGTTTAAGTCAATAGTTCTGGAGATTTGAATCTGAACTACAGTAAACTCAGTTATGTCCCATTCTGGCCCTCATTAGGCCATGTCACCTTTCTATTGACCTGGTTCAACAGGATTTTGATGTCTTCCACCACAACCACTGAATCCTAGTACTGCAGATTGGTCCATACTTAGTTCAGCAAGATCTGAACAGCAAGCAAGAGAAACATGGTATATTTTATGTGCCATGTTCCAAGATTTTTCAGGCTTATCAAAACCAATGGGCAAAATCATCTTCAAAACGGATTGATGATTCTTCTATTGCAGGAAGTGATACCAGTTCTGGAGACAGCATCAGCTGTTGTACTAACAGTATGCCAATTCACTCATCCTCAGCTGCTACAGAAGAAGAAGCTGAGTTGCAGAAGGGGCCGTTCTTAGAAGGGTCTATGATTGTATCAAGTTTCTCACTGCTGAGTTCATTCAGAATCGCTTGTTATGCCAAGCTTGTACTTACGTTAGTCGCACACAGTTTTGTGTTGTTATATAAATCCATAATTTAATCAAGCATTTCTTAGTTCTTGGAGTGTGGGGAAAGGGCTTAAGTGTCAACAGATATTCCATCCAAAGTATCAGGCAGGAGGAGTAAATAAAAGGCATAATGTTTGTGTATGTAGCAGCATACTATTTAGGCTCTGCTGAGTAGCATTAGAACTCCACAGATGAAAGCATAGGCAGACAACCCTAATGCTGCTTTAGGCTTTAAAACCATACTCTTCACAGCAAAGCTTTGCCAACACCCCTTGCAGGAGACCAAAATGTATTGTTCTCTTGTTCAGTCCCAGCTGTCAGTCTCAGTCCTAAAGTTGTGCAGAGATGTGGAAATGCACAGAATGGGATGCACACATACATCACAGATCTGGTTTAAAAACTTGTGCTGAAATTGTTGAGTACATGCCTGTGGAAATTACTTTAAAATGGTGCAGGTGAGCCATTCCCATACTGAGTCAAAACATTGGTCTGTCTAGCCCAGAATTATTGGCACTGATTGGTGGGTCCCAGGTAGTCGCCCTTCCTGCAGACACCAGGAATCAAACCTGGGACCCCTGCATGATGCAACCCATGTGCTTTGCCATTGAGTTAGTGTTCCTGTCCAGACTTGGACTCACCACTCCACCCCAGCCAGCTTCCCCTTGGTTTCTCACTACAGCTTTTTGCACTGATGCTTTGTTGCATCTGGAGATGTCAGCTTTCCAAGACTAATGTGCTGGCTTGCTCTCAAGCTGCTCAGGAATAATGCCTTGCTACTGTGTCATGAAAACTCAGGTTATAATGTGCACTGGAACTGCAAATAATATTGTTTTTCTATCTGCTGAGCATTTGGCTATTTATTTTTACTGGTCTAGCAATGCCAAGGATCCAATCCAAAAGCGGGCCAATTATTATACAAAACAAATCAAGAAAACATAAATAGGACTCTGTAACACCTGATCCCACTGAGAAATATTAAAATGACAACAGTAACAACTGAAACATGCCTGATATCACTATTACCAGGTTTTCTAGAGAGGACTTTAAATCTACCACATCTGCTTCTGAATTCAGAATCCTGAATTCTGTTCAGGATTAAGATTGAGTCTCTACCATTTCCCCCCTTTTCTTGTCTTTCTGTACTTTCAGCATCCAACTGTTAAGGGGTGCTGTGGCACAGTGGAACAAGTAGCATTGGGCAACTACACTGTTGGAGAATGTTGCTTTGTTCCACAATTCCAAAAGAGCCTATGTTTTCTCTGCCAACCCAGCCCCCAAAGAAACAACAAACCTGCACAAAAATAATTGGAAAACACAGGAAGGAAACTAGAAGATTATGGCTTCTGAAGTTCCCATTCAACTGTTAGTGAGGAATGACAAGTGCCCAATAAAACCTTATACAGAAAAGCTTTCTCAGCACCACCCCTAAAGAACCTGTGCTGTTAAGTTTTATCTGCTTCCAAGGATTCATAAAAATAGTGTTGAAGGATCTCTGATTATTTCAGGTATCGGTACTATAATGGACGGCTATCTCCAGATTTAATGTTCTTCAATCCCAAATCCTTTGGAACAGTTCTGCAGGCAATCCCCTTTCTTCAAGGATATGTTTTTTCCCTTAATCAGGAAGCAAAATGCATAGAACATACCTTCTGTTATGTAATTTCTGTGCTGGATTAAGGCAGCATACAATGGGCCCTATACTGACCAAACTACCAAGAAGGTCAGCTCAATTTTATATTTAATGTCCTATGGAAGATAAAATCCCCCCTGGTGGCTCAATAGTAGCTACATTTCTGTCTGTAGACATGCAAACAAGAGAAAAGTCCCAACAACACAATCTGCTGCCTGAACTGGGGAGGATTGGGTGCAGGGGCCAATCTATGGTTACAGGAATGCTACAGGATTGTTTTATGCTATAATTTGGATCTATTTGCTTTGAGATCCTGATGTCCTGTATATTTTACATATTTTTCCTCCACTGACTGCAATACATTTGATTGATTGACTGATCGATTGATAGTATGGTCATGTTGGCACTATCCTGAGGCCATTTTTCATTATATTATGTTACTTGTTCTTATAATTGAGTGACCAGAACAGTACTGGATAACCTAGAGTTACAGCACTCATCTCTCTGACCAAGGAAATACTGTTCTAAATGGCATTGCCATGCATGGTCTCTACCCCTCACCTACCACATGTAACATATCTTATCATGCAGATAATGAATTGAGTGGGGATATGGATTCACCAAATGCCAAACAAGTACAAACACACAGACAATAGGCTGTTGATGTCGTGCCTGAAGCCCCTACAGAGACAGCACCTCACGAGGAGGTCTTGTGCTTAGGACCCTGTATCCAAAAGCCAACCCCGCAACCTAGCCTGGGGGTGGCTGAGCAGATAGCTGCACCTCCCACTGACTCCCTGTCCATTGAGCAAACACCCGAGCCCACATCAAAGCCAGAGAAAAGACACTACGAGTTCTACTCAGAAGGAGTCAGAGCGGGCTGTCCCTCTTCCTACTGACGCTGAACTTCCTGAACATGACACAGGAGACGCAGGGGGCGTAATAGACTTTTCTCTAGCAACCAATCATAGAATTCTGAGAAGATACGAGCAAAGGCAGGTCTTGTTACGCCAGAGGGAAGAAAGGCGTGACCAGGAGGGCTAGTCCCACGTGGATTCGGGGAGAGACACCATTAGAGGATTAACATCTGCATTCCAAAGACCTCAACAGAAGAGTTTATCTGTAGAGTTGTAAATCTTGTAGACAAGTAGCAATAAAGAACTTTAGTTTTATTGCTCGTGAACGTGTGGGTTGTTTACATGTTGAGTAGCACCTCGGTTGATCAGAATGAGGACACTGAGGGGTCTCTCCTCCCCTCTTTTTTGTTTTCCTCTCCAGCACTCAGATAAAACTTGAAAAGTACACTGTCTTTTTTCCCCAAAGTTAACAGGTTACAAAAATATATAAATCAAAGTAGAATTATTCTTGATGTTGGAGAGAAGCATCTACCTATATAAAGAGATGAATCCAAACTGAAACTTCTTCTCCTTCCCACCCTTTCAGAAAAGTTTTTATTTCCAGTTACTTGGGGGCTAGATTGCAAGAATGTTGGACCTTTCATAACCGGTCCACTCAATTTGCCTGTTGTCCCCTGACAGGGTCAAGGAATGTCCTCTCAATCAGTCACCTCCTGCAGCCCAGGAGGTGTTTTTCCCTCTTTTCCAAGTGGGATGGTTTCCCATGTTTGTCCTGAGAATCTTCACCAAGTAACATTGAGAGTGCAAAGTCATCTGCCCAACTCAGCTTTCCAACTCTTCCTCAGAATCAGATGACTCTATCCAAGCAGACTGTAACATATGGGAGCTGGAGGGCTCCCCTCTACACTCAGGTCCAGGGGCCTCATTTGGCCCTCTTGAGGTTCCAATCTAGTCTTCTGGTGTTGCTTAGGTACCCACCCTTCCTTCCTGTGGCCCTACCATTTTCCAAACTACCCATACTTTGGATCTTTTCTGGCTCTGATGATATTTTTCCCCAACCTAAAAGGTTGTCACACTTCTCCTAAAGCTTAGTTCCTGATATTAAATTTAGTTCCTCAGTTCCTGATATATAAACTAATCAGCTGGAACCTTTTGTGGTTTTGCTCCCATGCCCTTTGGCCCCACACCTTCGGCTTACTTACCGCTAGAATATTGCCCCTGAGCAAATTCCCAAAACTCAATTAATTCTTCAAGCTGAAAGAGGCATTTCATCCCCACTCTAGTTGTCTGCCAGAAGAAAAATGTTATAAACCAAACTGCTTCGGTTAACCCTGAGAACTTGTAAACCTATAGTATCCTTTGCCCTTTTCTTTATATTTAAACTGTATAAACAATGACAGAAATGACAGATGAACTCACGGATCATTAGACTTTGGGATAAGCGTGCCAAGCTCCTTGATCCGGTAATTAATGTTGTACCTTCTTCTTCTTTCAACTATGAAAATGAAAGTTTGCAATAATAGCAGAATGCAAGAGAATGGATATAATTTATTTGTAGAAACTGAAATGGTTATGTTCTTACAAAATGTTATGCCTATTTCAAAACATCACAAAGGCCATGCTTTGTAATATCTGCAAATACATAATCCATGAAAACAACAAAATGGCTAGGTGAACTGTACTGGAGAGAGAACATGTCCAATTAAACAGTTTCTCAGACTTTTTATGATAGAAATGGAATAATCTTCCACAATGTATTTCTGAAGAAGGCATAGCTATATGTAAAATGTGACAATGAATTCACATAATGTTGATTATCACTTGAATTTACAGCATAAAATCATGCTGTATGTTACATCATGGGGTGTATATTTTTACCATGTTTGGCAAATAATGTTGGAAGGCAACAATGAGGTAGGAAATCTCTATTATGAATTCGTAATTGTTTGGAGTGAAACATTTAAACTGTCTGGTTGCAAATCTTGACTTTTATTATAAATCTCTATCTACTGTTAAATGTTACCAGATCTTTTTAAAAGAAACAGCTGGAAATTAACTAAAATCAATAATCTCACAGTGTGAGTCATGCATATGCTTGCTGTTACTTATCATTTAGAAATCAATATATTTTGGCATTTTGATTTTTTGTTTGTATTATGAAATACCTACATTGCTTAGCTTTGATTATGGTTGCATGGAGTCATCACAATGGCCTCACATAACTAGAGAGCCTTCAAATGAAAGTACACACTATTGTTGCAAATATAGCTACTAAAAACTTTACTCGTTTACTATAATCTATTCTAAATTATCCAACCATGGAATCAATTTTCTTGCCACATGTAGCTGTATTTATGCAGTCTCATTTTAAGAGGCTCATGCAGGATGGTATGAATGTAAGAA